CGTACCACTCACGAAGCTGTTGGGGGGTGAGGGACTCACGCGGTCAGCGTTGGAGCTGCATCTGGCCACACCAGGAGCAGCAGTAGCAGTAGAAAGAGCAGTAGCAGCAGGAGCAGCAGTAACAGCAGTACGGGCAGGGCAGTGCTCACCAGTGGCTAGAAGGGCAGGCGTACGACGGTAGCAACAGCGAGGCCGCTACCACTGCAGGGCGAGGGCTCCGCGGCAGCTGCAGGGGCGGCTGCTCCAGGGGCGGCTGCTCCAGGGGCCAGGGGCGGCTGCTGCAGGGGCGGCTGCTCCAGGGGCCAGGGGCGGCTGCTGCAGGGGCGGCTGCTCCAGGGGCCAGGGGCGGCTGCTGCAGGGGCGGCTGCTCCAGGGGCCAGGGGCGGCTGCTGCAGGGGCGGCTGCTCCAGGGGCCAGGGGCGGCGGCTGCAGGGGCGGCTGCTCCAGGGGCCAGGAGCGGCTGCAGAGGTCCAGGGGCGGCTGCTGCAGGGGCGGCTGCTCCAGTGACCAGGGGCGGCTGCTCCAGGGGCCAGGGGCGGCTGCTGCAGGGGCGGCTGCTCCAGGGGCCAGGGGCGGCTGCTGCAGGGGCGGCTGCTCCAGGGGCCAGGGGCGGCGGCTGCAGGGGCGGCTGCTCCAGGGGCCAGGGGCGGCTGCAGAGGTCCAGGGGCGGCTGCTGCAGGGGCGGCTGCTCCAGTGACCAGGGGCGGCTGCTGCAGGGGAGGCTGCTCCAGGGGCCAGAGGCGGCTGCTGCAGGGGCGGCTGCTCCAGGGGCCAGGGGCGGCCGCTCCAGGGGCCAGGGGCGGCTGCTGCAGGGGCGGCTGCTCGAGGGGCCAGGGGCAGCTGCTGCAGGGGCGGCTGCTCCAGGGGCCAGAGGCGGCTGCTGCAGGGGCGGCTGCTCCAGGGGCCAGGGGCGGCTGCAGAGGTCCAGGGGCGGCTGCTGCAGGGGCGGCTGCAGTAAGTAGCAGCAGCGGCAGCAAGTAGAAGCAGCTGCAGCAAGTAGAAGAGCTGCTGCAGCAAGTAGCAGCAGCGGCAGCAAGTAGAAGAGCTGCTGCAGCAAATAGCAGCAGCGGCAGCAAGTAGAAGAGCTGCTGCAGCAAATAGCAGCAGCGGTAGAGCAGCAGCACAGGCGTAGTGCAGCGTGCAGGCCTGGCGTGGGCTGTACTGGCCACGCGCGGGCCTGACGTGGCCTGTACAGGCTGCGCGAATGCCTAGCGCGGACTGTACGGGCCGCTCTCGGGCCTGACGTGGCCTGTACGGGCTGCGCTAACGCCTAGCGCTGACTGTACGGGCCGCGCGCGGGCCTAACGTAGGCTAAACGGGCCGCGCGCGGGCGTGGCGCGGGCTATACGGGCGGCGCGAAGGCCAGACGGGGGCTGTACGGGCTGCTCGCGAGCTACGCGCGACAGGACAGGGCAGGGCCGCGGGGCAGCGAAAATCGATGCACCTAAGGGCGCATTTCGGGCAGAAAAAAGGCAGAGAACGCGATTCGGGCAGGAACACGGAAGGTTTAACGGTGGGCCCTAAAAAAAAATTCGTCCTAGGCTAGGAACGTCCTAGCTCTTAATACCATGTGAGAGTAGTATGAAGGTGTGGGAGGATTAGGGCAAGGAGGGGGATACAAAGAAGTGTCGAGCAAAATTCTGTACCCCCTAAGGCTAAACCCACTACAGCCTAGATAACATTAAACATATAATTTGACATGCTAGACACCTCCGCGTGACTTTGCCCTTGAATAAATAGAGACTGTCGCCGAAGTTTGCTAATCTCGGTGTAGCACGAGGCGCCGCTGCTCAGATTTTCGGATCTGGATTGCGTCTTGAGGCGTCGGCAGGAGTGAGGGCGAGAGCTAACAAGAAGATTCCCACGCAGAGCAGGCCGCTGGCTTTGGAAACGAGAGCCATCGGAGAAACCAGGGGCAATGGTTTCCTGAGAGCTTGCTGGAGTCTCTTGTTTTAATTATGAGAAGCTTGCTGAGCAGATCCTTGGATCATCGCGAAAAAATTGGAACGCAGGGTCGATTTTGATGATGACTTCAGGGTGAAATAAGGAGAATAGGACGTGGGAACCCTGGGGGTTCAGAGCAAGAAAAGGCTTCGAGTCGCCATCGCGAAATGGCTGCGGTGACGATACGAAAGCAGGTGAAATTCGTGATCCAAGAGTGGATAGGCGAGAGGCTCAACAATAACAGTAATGCGAACCGGCGTCATTCCTTAGAAAAGCCATGTCGTTCCGTCAGTTTCGGGGACCAGCGGGGAAATAATGTTCCAGGTGAGGCGAATTGGTTTACGATTATAGTATAGATGCGACGATCCATGCGAACTACAAACCTGGTAACACAGCTCGTTTGACGAACCATCCCTCAACCAGCCAGCTCGTTAGCTTCCCTTCTTCGCCACCATGAACCACAGAGAACTGCACGCTAGGCCCTCAGAAGTCAGAGAAATGTCTCTGATTTGCATGAAAATGTCTGATGTTTCAGATTTTCTTTAGGGTGTGCTCTGAGAAATTCGGAATTTTTATGGCCACAACTCTGTAAAAATCAGATTCTTTTATAGGCGGACTCTGAACTTTCAAAGTTTTTCGAGAGTGTACTCTGATCATTCAGAGTACAAACGAGTACCGACTCTAATTGAATGTACCTGTGCACCGACACCCAGGATTAGCGGTATGTACATTGTACCTGTACCGTCAATCACACGAAATCTGTGACAACTGTTAAGTTCTTTGGGCGACGCGGCCCTGCGGCCCGATGTTTCCCTCGTACAGCTGGATGTTTCCCGCGCCCTGAGGCACGATGTTTCCCTCGGTGTAACCTCCAGCTCACACCCTGTTAGAGCACTGATTGGTGCGTTTGGCAGCTTTTGTCTGCCATCACAAACTCCACCACCACCAGTGTCGAAGATGCTGCAGCAGTTGCCACCCACGTAAAGGTGATGGCAAGCAGACGGTGCCAACAAGGCCTGTTGGCACACACCCTGAGCATTGATTGGTCCTTTAGGCAGCATCGTGTACCACGATGCTACAACATACACACACGAAACATTCCTCACAGCATTGCACGGCAGACGCGCCTCGTCGTTGCCATGCATGCTAGGCAACCACCCACCCAACTCATGGATGGCCCATAGTGTGTTATAGGGCCTTCCTCTACGAGCTAGGGTTTCATCCACACCCCTCAGCTCAACTTCAACTCACTGGGCCCATCCAGTGCCCAGATCAGTAGCCTCCTTGTCATTTCGTTCCTGCTCGGCATGCTCTTTCAGATCCCCGCCATGGCTCAGCCAGAAAATCCCGCCACCAGGGATGACGATCCTGATTCACAGCTTGCCTTAACAGGCTTAGATTTTTTGCTCTGTCATCTAGCACTCGAGAAGGCAGCACGCACCGAGCCCGATACTATCCCCACCCAGAAGGAACCTTCAGCACCCATTATCTCAAATCCCAACCCTGTGGCAGAGACAGCTGCGGAACCAACTGCCGTTTCGGCCTCGCACCATCCCACTCAGACCACGGCGCGAACCATCCGGCTCAAGCAGGCGACCTTGAGCTTCGCCAAGCCTTCATCCTCGTCTGTCGACGTCAACAACTCTCCCGTCTCATCTGAGCGTCCGCGTCCTTGCCTCACCATAAACCTGGCCGAGCTCATTGAACGACTCTACGATGATGCAATTGACAAGCTCAAGACTCAGTGGCAAACACGTTTCCCCTGGCTTCAAATCACTAAAAACACCTCGGGGTTGCCTGCCTTCAAGTGTACTGTTTGTGCAGCTCATGCTGGCGACGGAGGCAAGTGCTGGAGGCGCGGGAAAGGTGCCACGGCCTTGCAGACCCAGTCGCTTTGTAAGCACGCTGGCATGGCGAAGCACAAGCTGGCGATGGCAAGACTCACAGCTGTGCAGGAGTGCGGTGCGAGGCAGCCGCAGATCGACCAACATCGCGCCACGGTGGACGGAGAGCAGCAACGCGTCGTCGCCCTTCTCGACTCGTTGCTGTTCATCAGCAGGTCCGACGCCCCCATGGGGATGTGGGTGAAGCTGGCGCATTACCTGGCGGAGAAGGGAGTGCCTGGCGTTCCGAAGAAGGGGTACGGCACCTACTACACCACATGAGTGCAACTGCCGGAAGCTATTTAATATACATCGGTATTCCTAAGTTTTATCCCTATAATAATGTGCTCACTGTTGTTAACATGTACAGATACGGCTTTGGTGAGCTGACGCAAGCCACTGCGACATGGCTGCATACAACCCAGCTAGATCATGTGCTGGCGTCGCCCTTCGTTGACATCGCTTTATCCTCTTTATCACTATTATCTGTGACAACAAGCTCGTCACATAGTTTATGGCGTTGCTCACCGTGGAAAACGCCGACGCAGCTTCTCTTCTAAGTGATAAAATCGTAGGAAGGAGATCAAGTTTAACTAGGGCCTAGGCTTAGGAGCCTAGGCCCAACTAGGATGTCGAGTAGTTTGTGCCTAGGGTGAGATGTCGAGAAAGTTGGGAAGGATGGGTTGCACTATAGGTTTCAAGGAACATATAGCATAGGAAACAAAGAAGGTGCACCACCAAACTAAGCTTATAATAACTACACTAACTACAGCTACAGGCAGTTACAAATATAAGTTCTGACACTAAGTGTTCTTATGTCACATCTGCAAGCAGTCGGGATCGACCTGCAGCGCATTGCGGGGATCAGCACCGACAGTGCCAACGTCATGATGGGCAGCAAGTCTGGCCTCACCACACGCCTCCGCCTGCGCATCCCCCATCTGGTGTCATCCCACTGTATCGCGCACATGTATGTCTGTGTTTGTGCATAAACTTGCCGTGGGTTTTGTTCTAGTTGTTGACTTTCTCGATGTACTAATGTTTATGAATTGTTGTACATGGAGGCACTGGCGCCTAAAACAGCCGCCGAGAAGATTCCTACGTGTCATTGACACGGTGATTCGCACCGTGGCAGAGCATCTCGGCCGTTCGGGGCCATGGCACCAACGGTTCATGGGGCTCCAGGATGTTTTCGCGTCCACTTCTCTTGAGCTCCAGGGCATTCATGCCGTCAGTTGGCTTTCACAGGGCAACGCAGTGCGCAGGCTTGTCGCCGTGCTTCCGGCTCTCATCGTGATGTTGAAGGAGTGGGACGCGAAGCTGTATGCTCTCGTGACAAGTTACAGGTTTCATTTTCTTCTTTTCTTCATTGCTGATGTGCTTGAGCAGCTCAACATCCTGAACAGGGCGTTCCAGCACAAGAGGTGAGATTGCTCATGGCTTTCTGTCAATATTGTTTTGTTACAGTGGGCATTCTGCTATAATCCTGCATGTTAACTGTTACCAGCCACTAACTACCTTCCGTCCCGTTTCTGTCCAGCTTAATTATGCCAGCGTGCATGCGCAGATCAAGCGCACAACGTCCCACATCGAGAGCCGCTATGTTGATTGCGGCGACGACTTCGGTGGCGGCGTCAGCGAGCTGCTGCCCCCCTTCATCGCGCGCCATGGGCCAGGGGGAAATCGGGAGGTGAAAGTCGAAGGGATTGACTCGGACGGCCGACCTGCGCGCTTCACCTTCAGGCTGCACGAGGACGAGCTTGAGGAGTTCGAAGGGCTCGGGACTCACGATGGTTGCGTCGACATCTGCACGGAGTTCGCCGAGGTGATTGTCCACCAACTGGAGCATCGGCTTGGCGACCTGGATGGCATGTCCAAGGCAAAGCTTTTCATGCCCGACGAGTACCCACTGGATCGAGAAGAGAGGAACCGCAGGTGTCTTGAGTGGCTTCAATCCCTTGTGACGTTGTTGGCCGACCTGACAGAAGAGATCCTGCCAGGTAAGCCTAATGTTATGTGGTTTTGGTATTCTGCTGCATCAATGCCCAGGATGTATTACGTGCTACGCATCAATGTATGTGTATATTTGTTTCATAGATTGCTCTTCTGTTATACTTTATCCCACCCCGCCAGGAATCAACAAGCGCCGAGCAGAGAAGGAGGTGCGCATGTTCACCTCGGTGCTTGCAGCATCGACCAAGAGCGAGCGCAGCTTCCACGCGGGGCTCACTGCCACGCTCAAGACACCCGACTGGCGCGACAACTACCCCAACCTCGTGCTTTTGTGGGTGGCGGTAGCTGTACTGCCGCTGAGCACTGTGGAGTGCGAGCGGGAGTTTTCCAGGCAGAACATCATCAAGTCGTGGCACAGAGGTTCGCTGAAGGATGCGTGCCTTGGAGACCTCTTGTGCATGAGTCTCATGGACTACGAGCCCAGGTGGGATGAGATTGTAGCCGTCTAGAAGAGCTACAAGAAGCGCAAGCCATACAGCAACGCTCCACTCCCGCCTGCATGAAAGCAACAGAACAAGGGCAGGGAGGCAGATGAAGTGATGGAAGTAGTAGACCTAGAAGCAGATAATGATGCATTTGACAGTGATGATGATGATGGATTTGATGATTAGGAGTCCTAAGAGATAGGTAGGATGTAGTAGACGTAGTAAGGTAGTTGCAGTATGTTTGTACTTTAAATTGAAGTCTGTATGCATTACAGTCTAATGTACATTAACCAAGGCCAACAGGAAACACACTAAAAGATACAATCAGACTTATTAGTGGGCTAGATTCTGAAAGACACTTTGAAAATTAGTTTGTTTCTTTAACAACTCTGAGAAATTCAGACTATTACTGTAGACTAGTCCGACGAGTCAGACAGGCCAAAAACGAATCTGCGGCCCTGCTACACGCCCTGGAAATTATTCCCCAAAACACAGCCGCAAACGACGGACGGAAGGCGATTCTTGGTGAAATTTCCAGCGAACAATGGGAATTTTCGTAGCAGTTCGTTGAGCTCCTCGCTTACCCATTTTTTGACCCACGAAAATAGTTACAGATGTCCGCACCATCGCCATTCCATCACAGTGCCAAGGGTGCGAAATTATTGTTATTTCTGTTGTGAATGGCACGCTCTTCACGTGCCACGCTACTGTACCACTCCAACCCCTTCCCCTCCAAACACCCTCGACACATTTTCCTAAGAACCCATCCAAACCACTCAACTCCTACAAAGCCAATTCCAACCACTCAAGATACAAACTTCCTTTTCCAACTCATCCTCTCTAACTCAAGCCTATCAACCACCTCTTTAATTACTCCCAACCACCATAGCCGTTCCTAATCCAACTCAACTAAGACTTCAACCAAAATTCCTATTCACCTCCAAGCCCCACCCATAAGGCACATGACTCCTCATGATTTTCCATGTGCTTTCTCTTCCTACTCATCAAATAATACCCAAGTCATCCACTTCCTCCAATTATCCTCCTCCCATGTGTCTTCAATCACATGTTTCCTAGTCATCAACATCCACATGCCTCTCATTTATTCCTTCCTTCCTTCCTTTCCCAAGTCACCAAAGTTGCCAACTCATCTCTCAAGGATTCATGATTACCACATCACCTTCTCTTCCAAGACACCAAATCTATCCTATCCCCTCCATTCATTCCTTCACAAGTCACCCAAGTTCTCTTCCAACACTACAAGGCCTACAACTCCAACTCAACAAGTGCTCAACCATCACCACATGCTCTACTACTATTCAACTCCAACAAGCATCTCTACAATTTCTCAAGAAGGTTCTTCATTGACAACAATGCTTCTCAAGCTTCTTCATCAAGCTCCTCTCCAAGCTCCTTCCAAGCTTCTCCTTCAAGCTCCTCTTCAACTACAAAGGCTCTTCACTAGCAACCAAGTTTCAATGTCTCCAAACGTTGATACTCTCATGCAACTCTCTTCCAAGGCTACCATTGATGGCTACTCTCTCTATGCATGCCTATGTATCCTTCATGGATCTATAAGGCTTGTACTATACTCCCTTTAATATAAGTTTATGCTCATAAAGCTCTCTCTCACATAGTCTACAAAGTAATTATCAAGTGAAGAGTAGTCTACCTCATACTCCTTAAGAGTATAAGGAAGCTACAAGCTACAAGCTCAAGGGAGGATCATCATCCAACCCAAGGTTTGAAGTCACTCCCAAGTAAACCATACAAGTTCAAGTTCTTCTTTCAAGTTACTTCTACAACTATCCCTAGTAAGATTCACCCAAGTAATTGTTTATCACCTCTCTTATTCTCTCAACGAGCTCAGACTCTTCTTCTCTTCTAAGTTCTTCTCTCATCAAGCATTTCATCTTACACAAGTTTCTCTTTATAGTCACGGGTTCTAAGCATCATCTTCTCTTCCATCAAGCTCATCTACATATGCTACAGTTCCACTGTTCACTCTTGTCTTATTCTAGTGTGCAATCATACTCTTTTGTCTTTATCTCAATTCTCTACTGGTATCAGAGCTACTTACCTCCTCGCTTTCGCTAGTGTCCTCTTAACAAGAGCTTTATACTCTCTCTCCATGACTCCCACTCCCAAGGGCTCTAAGCCAAAGAGTGCCACTTCGCAAGGAGAATCAAGCTCCTCCGAAGTAAGCGGCAACACAGGAGGAAAGGACACCTCATCATCTCCTACTCTTCCCTCTCCTATTTACACCCAAATGTCTACCCCCTCTTCTTTAACTCCCAAGCTAGAAGTGCCACGGTTCAATGGAAAGGATTTCCAAGCGTGGAGAATTCGCTTCCAATTGGCCTCCACTCTCCTAGAGTGGTGGCCCGTTTACTCTGGTTCTCTCTCTCCTCCTACCTCCGAAGCCCCTCCCACAGAGCAAACCGAATGGATCAAGAAGAACGCCGAAGCTTATCTCTACCTCCTCAACTCCGTCCAAGACCAATACGCCAAGTCATTGCTCACGTGCGTGAGTCATCCCGACAGTGCAAAGCGCGCATGGGAGAGGCTCACAAGGCTTCATCAACCTCGCACCGAGAGCACCAAGGCGGAAATGTGGGGCAAGATCTCCAACCTACGGATGGAGCAAAAGGAGACGATTCCCGAGTACTTGGAGCGCGCGGAGATTTTACTCAACGATGCCGACGTCATCGAAGTCACCGTTCACCATTCTCCTCGCGGGGCTCTCATCGGAGTGGATTCAAATGCGGAGCACGATTCAAGCGTTTCCCGAGAAGCAAAAGACGCGAGACTTCATCTTCAACACCCTCATCAACGAACATCAAACGCGCGAGCTTGCCAAGGCAAAGGAGGAGAACAACAAACCCGCATGGTCGGCCGCCGTCTCTACTCAAGGTCACGGCAACAACAACAATAACAACTACTACAACAACAACAACAAAGGCAAGAACTAACAACAAGCAAGTAAGTCCTCTAACCCATCTCTTCTTGGTCGCTACCCGTCATCAAGCTCCTCATCCAATCAACCCTTCTCATCTAATCCCTCTCAACCCGCTAAGCCCCAATCCGGGAAGTTCAACTTCACTTGTCATTTTTGTCATCAATGGGGACATCCATGGTTTAAGTGCCCTCGTAAACCTCCCAATTGGACCCCTCCTCCTCATCTTCTTACCGCCAAGGGCCGAGCCGCCCTATCATATGCAGTAAGCTCGCATAATGAGCCCCATCAATCCCCCTTACCTCAACCTCAATCATCCCAATTCTACCCAAGTCAATCCTACCCCTTTCCCTATTACCCCATGCAACCAATGCCCTTGTTTTACCCTTCTCCACCACAAGGCTTTACGCCTTCGTTACCTCAAGCACCCCATGTCTCTCCCTCCAACTCTACACCCACTTCTTCTTCCCAAAGCACCCCACAGGGCATAAGCTTTGCCATGACCTCATCCGCGCCCACATCGTCGTTCGACCCCAAATTTTGGTACCTCGATAGTGGGTGCGACCAACACATGACTCCCAACTCCTCCCTCTTACATTCTCTCACCACCACAGGAGTTAAGTCCGTCACCGTCGCCAACAAGGAGTCAACTCCCACCGCGGGAGAAGGAATTCTCACCTTTCTCAACCCCACCGGCAAGCCGGTTTCCATCTCAGGTGTCCTCCTCGTTCCCAACCTTGGAGCCAACCTATTGTCGGTTGGACAACTCGAGGAGAAAGACTGCATCTTTTCCTTTGAAAGTGGTACTGTGCAGATACGCTACCAGGGACTCCTCATTGCACGTGGCGAGTGAGTTGGTCGCCTCTACCGCCTCAAGCTCGACGTGAACCCGGAGTATCGTCGACTCCATGGCTACACCGCCGCCGCATCAACTACTATAAAGCCTCACCCAGGTACGGCTACCACACCCTACATTTGGCATTGTCGCTTGGGTCACCCTGGAGCATCAACCTCAAAGTCCATCACCGCACATGCAAGTCTTGAAGGTCTTCGCATCACACCAAGCTCCGAGTCTTCCTCCTCACTTTCTCCATGCCCTTCCTGCGTCGAAGCCAAGCACGCACATCATCCTCATCCCCCTGTCAATGTTCAAGTCTCAAGTCCTCTTGACCTTGTTCATAGTGACATCATTGGTCCTGCTCGCACGCTCAGTCGCACGGGCAAGCGATTCATCATGACCCTCATCGATCATAAGACACGTTTTGCATGGGTCTTCCTTCTTGAGTCCAAAGACCTTGTTCTCGAAGCATTCAAAGTGTGGCATGAACACATCAAGAACACAACCGGCCTTCAAGTCAAGACTATGCACTCGGACAGAGGGGGAGAATACATGAGTAAGTCATTTCGCAATCACCTCTCATCCATTGGCATTGCACAAGAGTTTTCATGCCCCTACACCCCTCAGCAGAACGGCATCGCCGAAAGGTTCAACCGCACTTTGCAGGAAATTGCAAGATCTCTTCTCTTGCACATGAAGCTAGACGATGCATGGTGGGGAGAAGCTGTGAACCACGCCGTCCACCTCAAGAATCGTCGCCCAACCATCGCTCTTCCCTCAGGTATCACCCCATTTGAAGCATGGCATGGGAAGAAGCCCGATGTTTCCATGTTGCGTGTGTTTGGTTGCATGGCGCAATATCGCATTCCCGATGAGAAGAGAGGAAAGTTTGAGAGCAAGACACGTTGGGCCGTGCACATTGGCTTGAGTAAGGAGAGCAAGGGCTGGATTCTTTGGGACCCTCTCCTTACCAAGGAGATTGTGAGAAGGGATGTGATCTTCCATGAAGACATGTCCCTCGCTCGATGGAAGTTAAACTATCTACCTCCTTCTCCCTCTCTCGAAGACCCTCTCCCCACTCCACCAGGACTCACCACAACACCCGCAGTGGAGCCCTCTCCAAGTGCACCTGCTGGAGATACCACAGTATCTCCACCTGTACCTGAGAACAACACACCTCCTCATGAGCAGCAGCAGAGTCAACCTGAGCCAAA